CTCTATTTCACTTCGTTTCTTTCGCATTTCTCGTTAGCAATGCATTAACACTCTTATTTGTACGCTTGTCTTGTTTTTATCTGAATGTAATTTCGAGTTTCCCGGAATGAGGAAAGCGAAAAATTAAAAAATGAAACGAAATGAAATGAAATGAAATCAGCATTTGTATCCGTAGATGCGGTATAGACATAGACACAGTGTTTCGTTCACTCGCTCACTCATTGTGTGTTCTTGTCCCGTTCGTTTGTGAAATGCAGAAACAGTAGCAGGAGCAGTAATAGTAACAGCAGCCCAAGAACGAGAGGCCATCAGTAAAAAAAATGGCAAATGAAAAAATGCTACATGTATCAAACACTATGGCATTTGCGCGATATAATCCAATTGTAATCGTGTTTTCACAGACAAGTTTTAAGGCACACACCTGAACTAAAGCGTCAACACACATACACACGAATAAAAAAATAGAGCAGGGAGAAAGAGTGCAAAGAGTAAGCGGGAGCGATGGGCGAGTGCTGGACAGCAGCAGCAGCAGCAGCAGCAGCAGCAGCAACAGCAGAAATAACATCAACAACAACAGCAACAACAACAATAATGGCATAGTCGAATCAGTTTGTGCCGTGGTGAGGTGAAATGGGTGAGCCATATGTGTGATATCTCGGAAACAGCATTAGCCATCAGAAACACAAAAAGCAAACGCCGTAAAGCAAAGAAAAAACAAACCAAAAACAGCATCTGCTCTGATGAAATTCTATTGGCAAATGTGCTTCGCCTCGTTTGCTCTCATTATTTTTTTTCCATTTTCCCTTTCCGTACTTGCCCCGTTCGGACAAATAAATAATTCAAACTTGATTAAAGCTCTACGGGCAAGCTGGAAAACCATCAACGCTACAAACAAAATGCATGTAATAATGTAATAAATAACAAAAGTGAAGCTTTGTTATTGACAGATTTTCTAAGCATTAATTCTAATTTACGTTTTAATTTTTTTTTTGTTCGTTTGCACTTTCGGTCGTTTCGTCCGTATGTGTTCTGGTCGTTGTTTTCGATGCATGGATGATTTCGAATGAAATAGATTTTCATGCGGCTGCCGGTGCATGCTCTGCTCCATTGCATGATATGTAAACATTTCACAGTATTTGCCCTGATTCTTTCAACCGGGTATGCACTGTGTGTGTCGCTGTGTGTGCTGTGCGCGCTTTTTTCGGGTTAATTCGATTTCGATCATTGAAAGATTTCATTTTTCGATGTGATATTATTCAGTCCGTGTCCGCGTTAAGCACACGAGATCCCAAAAAGTGATTCCGATTGGAATGAATTTGGATGATGAGAGGTGCAGTGTGCAGGACGAGAAAAAAACGCACCGAAAGAATAATGTTGCTGACACAGTACCGATGTCCGAGCCGAGAAACGTTTTTCAAATCTGCAGAGTAATCGTACTTTATCTCTTCGAATCCATTTTGAATGGAAAATGCACGGCAGCTCACAAATGTATGTGAAATCCGATTAAAATCAACTAATAAATGATTTACAATTAGTTAGCAGTTGGCATGAACAGTGCAGTCGATGCAACCGGCCGATAACAATGGAGTATACGAGCGAATGGCTCGTCCAATGCAAATGGTCCGTGAGCTATTGATACCATAGAGTCACGCTGTGGATGCCGTCGAAAGTGAAATCACAGCAAAGAATAAAAACTTTGAACATATGGACAGAAAATGCTGAAAAAAGAAACAAAACACATCAATACCCACACGGTTGAGTAAATAATCTTCTAAGTACGATATCGTATTTCCTATTATAAAAAGAGCCTTACCGCATACAATAGAAAATGTAGGACAAATACCGAATGATTTTCAGTTCACTTTAGTCAAATCTGTGCCGTCAAAAATATTTTTCCACACATAAAAAATAGCACGCTTCTCTTTACATTGATATGGTGGATCAGTATAAATATATAACAACATTCACAAAACTAAGCAACCAGCATTTTTTGATGAATTTGTTAAATCGTATTCAACGTTGTATTCCACAGTGTTATTAAACGCACTCATCACATTCGATGACATTCATTTTTTGGGTTTTCATTCATATTGCAGCTAAATAAATTGAGCGTATGAGAGTGGCCTCAATTTCAAAGGGAACATCAATGCAATTTACCGCGCCAAGCTTAACATTTTGTGCCATTTCCGGCACTGGAGCTTATCCTTTGACGATGCATGCATTTTAGTCGTAGACGAAAAATTATTTAATAAAATATGAAAGTGCTCAAATTACGACTTTTCCATTAGTGATCACTGATCACCTAATAAGCTGAACGAATAATGTAACAAACCAAACTATAAACCCTTACTCTAACGCATACGCATCTCGGACCATTTCTATTTGTAGAAGCAGTATTAGCGGAGTCATTATCATGTTTGTTAGCATATTTACGTATTCATAAATGATTGGGGGGATAAGAGTTAAATATAATACGAGTGAAACGATAACTACTTGGTTCTGGCTAAAAGCTTAGTATTTCTACAATTTTAATTTATATTTTCTTGAACCAACAATCTTGTGAAAACTTATGAAAATAATGATAAGATATTGGTTATGCTTCCATGAAATGTGATGAAGAAGTAGCCAAAGCAGACAAGATTCGCCATCCCATACTTTTTTCCTATCTCAACTTAGCCGTTGAATTTCGTATACTAATTTTAAAACTACACCTAATCATAAGTCGAGAGTTTCATGTAAGCCAGCGTCAAAACAATTGAATATGCCAGTATATCATTTGGTACTGTCGACTGCCGTTCAACTTCACATTAATTCAGACGAACGATGAATTAAAATGCTTTCATGTTCATCCACCTAAATCCGAATGAAAAACTCGCAGTACGCGCTTCTTCCTCTCTGTCTCACTTTGGTCGGAAAAGCAAATGAACATCCTGGTAACAGATAAAAACAACTGTGTGAATTAATGGAAGACAAGATAAAAGATAATTAGTCTCGGTCTGTGTTTTAATAGTGCACACCTGCAAGTGACGTATATAGTGCAAACACACACCTCTTTTTCATTTCCATTCATATTTGGGAGCTGCATTTGGTCAACCGTATTTGTAAATGCGTGCAAATTTGTCGTCTATCGACTAGTTGCTCTTCAGGAGGAAATATTGGATTTTTTTAGCAAGTCTGTGAAAAAAGGGGCAAAACATGATTTTTTTCGGTTTTTTCTTCTATTTCATGAATGAAATGTCCTGCAGACGAATTTTGGCTAATTTCGTGTTCTAAAATTGGTTTCGTGATTTCTACGATTTTCATTGAATAATAGCAGCTTAACATGATGAAAACGCTCGAAAAGGACCGATTTTAATAAACGTTCGATGTAAATATGACATTTTTGTAGCGTCACCGTAATTACCAGGGTGGTATTTCCAAAAGCACACAAGATTGAATGCTTTCTAAGGCATTTGGAGATTTTATTTTTTACTCTTGTTTGAAATGACAAATTTTTGAATACAACACACTACACATCACTATTACTATCGTTAGCATCGAAAACGGATAAATAGAATGGTTTCTGAGTACAATTTTTTCGGTTGATTACAATTTTTTACGTACATAGTGGATATGCATAAAAGTAATAGTAGCTTTGTACTTTATGTTATTCTATATGGACATTTATTATATCGAGAAAAAAAATCGGTCAATCATGATCAGCGATCGGTTGTGATTCAAGGGTTAAAAAAAAGAGAAAAAAAAGCAAACAAACTGAACTCACGCCATTCGCATGGAAACTGAAAACTGAGTTTTAATCTAATCCTAGTGACGGATCACATACACGAACGCTTGCATGAATTATATGGCATTCTAGAGCGCTCCCCGCGCCAAAACTCGACTAAATCATCCGGAACTGCACTAATTGACGACAGAAAGATGAAAATTATACAAAACATTATTGTTCAGCTTTTTGTATTTTACGCTGTTCAGTTGTCTATGTAATGTGTTGTGTATATAAGTTATAAACAACAAGACAAATAAAAAGTACTAGGTACAAAAAACTGCGATTGAAAAAACAACAGTTTCATGAGAGTTTTTTTCTCGGTTATTCAAAGAGATTTGCGTAATTTTTTTTTTCAAACGAAATGGTTTTAAAAATAAAAGAATAAATACAATCGTTAATTCCTTCTGTAAACGAAAATGAACGAAGAACGATGCTTTTGTACACATTGAGTGGAAAGTGCAGGGAACAAAAAATATTCGACAATATGGACAAGTAATAATAACTGTACACATTTTCCAATTCACTAAAGGTAAATGGCCTGAGACAAAATGGTCGGAGATTACGCAATGCGTACCATATGTAAAGGGATCTGTCACACTAGCTCTGATGGATCAAGATTATCAAAGGCTTTAAAGTTGCATTTTAAATGACTATCTTTTTTTTATTTCAAAATAAAACTTCTTTTTTCCCTCTTAGATAATAAAAACACCATAAAACTCTTGTTCAAATTCTTTCCCGAAATAAATGGCCTGGTGCATGTTTTTTTCTTGTTCTGTTTCGATCAGTTACACTGCTTTGCCCAATCAGCGGAAAGTGAGATTGTTCGTTGGTTAAATCAGAAAATAACAATGTACTCCATTGTGACCAGTAAATAAAGATAAATTTTTTTCTCTCTCTTTCTCTCTCTCGGTTGGTTGTGGAGCCAATGATTCATTTTATTTCGGTTGGCATACAATTACTCTTCCTGCTTAACCATATATTTTTCAAAAATAAAAATAAAAATCGTTTAAAGGAAGTGGCTTTTCGAAAAATTTAATGCTGAATTTACAGTTAAATGATTGCACAAAAGTTCATGGTCGATTATTTTTAACGTAATGCAAACGGTTGAAATTCAAAAATTTCCCTGCTCTTCAGTTTGCAGCACTTCAGTTATTATATTTTGGCGTAAGTGAGAAAGAGAGAGAGAGAGTGAAAAAATGATGTTTTTGGTAAAAGCGCATTAATTTGTACTTACTGCTTGTGTCCAACTTTGCGTTGATAGTTTGTGGTGTGGATATCGGTTGGTTTACTGTTGTGCTCTTCATCAAAGCGCATTTCCCGTCCTAGAATTCGAACAATTCAAAATAGATTTTACTTTGAGAATGAACAAAAAGAAGGGAATTGATATTTAAAAACTAAGATAGAGAGAGAGGAAGAGAGAGACCGCCACACAGCAATAACGGCTTGTTCAAAACAAAAACCATCACTTAGGTTAATTCAAAAGGCTTGAAAAGCAAAATTGCAAAAAGATGTGTTTGTAATCATACAAATGAAGTGAATGTTGAAATAGTTGAGGAATTTCATTAAAATTCCATTCGTCGTATGAACAATGAACGCACATATAATGGACCATTTCCGAAATACGGCGAATATGAAGGGAGAGAGAGAGAGGCAGAGAGAGGAATGAAAGAAGAAAGGGGCACACATAACAGTTTTCAGGCGAAAAAGCAATGAACATTTTTATGATATGTTGTTTGTGTTTGATCCAGCAAATGCCAAAGGATATTATGCTATACATTTGAAACAGGCACAGGCGAAGTTGGGCAAACAATGAATGGCTTTCAACACTCACATACAACATAGCACAAATGCGGCTTCCACACAGAAGCACATTCGCACGCACATTGCAACACCGATTCGGTGTAGATTGAAATTAAAATTAAAATTATAATATATTGTTATTTTAGGACAAAACAGTTAAATTTTATCCATTGTGCAGTAACATAAATTAGTATTTTATGTGTGAGTGTGTTTTGTTGTGCCCGCTTGGTTTGGCTTGGTCCGAGTGACGTTTCGGTACGGTGCGGTACATAACGGTATGATAATGCAGAGGACAACTTTAACATACTCACCATTTTAACAATGGCCCCGCAAAAAGGGAAATTCTCTCTCTCACTCACTCACACAGACACACTTCATATTTATGTCATATTTCACTTGGGCACTCTTTGGCTTTGGGTTCTTTTCAACTTTCAGTTTGATGGACAAAGTGCGTCGTGAATATCGCCACGGGTGCTTCAGTAACGCAAAGTGACCATTTCGTAACGGTATAATTATCAAAGGAAACCCAAACACATTGAAACAGCCAAACCATCATCCAAATTAATAGAAACATAATATTAGCGAATGGCGAATAACATCTTCATCAGCCGATGGGTGCACCCATCGTTCCATGTGAAACACTCACACACACACACACACACATACCACCATTTCACATTGATTGCGGTGTTGGTTATGCAAAGGATCATTTCATCACTACGGTGTGTTCCTTAAATTCTGAACATTATTTGAACCATCACCGTCCGTACATTCGTTTCAAGAAATTCATCCAGGGCAACGATCGATTACCCCAGCACACTTGACAAGTAGTCGAATCTTTTTGTACGGTACAATCGGGTGCGAGCGAGGAATTCTCTTGTTGAAATTGTATCAGTTCGTTTTTTTTTTGGTTTCGTTCATGCATACAACGCCTGATTGCTGTCGACTTTTCCGTATCACATCTTTCTTGAGGTCGCTTCGAAAATGGACGTCATTTGTTATACGTGCTCAGAGAATATGACCATTGTGGTCATTTGAATTGAGATTGTTTACAAAATATAAAATGTTTTAATGTGTCGCCTGGGCATTCAGCATTTTCCTTTTTAGCATTGCAGTCCTATTCAAAGCTCACAGCTCACATACAAAACCCTTTTTTCGGTTTTCCCATTGAGCTTGCTGCAAAAGTCTCTCGTCTCGTTACATATGATTTGCAAAATATCAAGCCAACTAATTTTTCCATATGGATTTTAATAACATTCGCAATAAAAGCTCAACCACAATCGGACACTCGACACTGAGTAACCAGAGACTTCTGCCTGATGGAGTTTAAAAATATAAAAAAAAAAAATCATCATCATCATCATCACAGATTCGAAATTGACCACTGTGGTTTGCATTGTGAGCAAATCATTCTTACAGGCTATATTGGCTGACACAGAAATAGTGCTGAGTTTCAAGATGATTTGTAAAATAAAGGCATTTTTTCGTCTACGGCTAATCGAATTTTCACTATAATGTGCTATGATGAAAGCCATTTAATCGGTCTCCAGTAGTACGTCTCATAATTTAAAGCACAGGGCATGTTTTTTTCTTTCTCTCTCTCTCTCTCTCTTTATCTCCTCTTCTTCCTCTTCACCCTCTGTTTTAAATAGATTCGCATAGACAATCCACACATACGGCTATAAATTGTGCAGCGAACATGACAACGTAACCGAAATGTAATGGGGAGAAAACGACTGTAGTGTAAAAAGTCAGGCGCTGAGCAAATTGTATATTTCGTATTCCAAGGTTATCATTGTCTGAATCAGTATGTTAGTGTGTGTGTGTGTATCGTTGGTTTGTCGCTTGCATTGAATAGACCGCCAATACTGAAATGTTCAGCTCAGCTCGGCTCGATTCGGTTGGGCTCCAGTGCAGTGCAGTTTCACACAGAGATCTTAAATTATATTGAATGCCTTGATATTGACAAAGCGCAAAACATTTTATTCCATATTTTTATCATAAGCTTTTTGGTTAGATGTATGCGCCTATTCCCTGCAACGGTCTCGCTACAATGCGAAGCAAATTGAATCTTTATAGACGGCTATCTCAACAATGGTTTTACAGATTGGTCTACGTGCTTAGTGCAGTGTGTCTTTTGCATTGCTGCTGCCACTGTTACAGCGGCTGTGTCTTGGTTCCATGGAGCTGGCGAAAGATCGCGAGATGACCAGTAGCCGGGCGAATGCATGAGCACAAGCATCCCCATTTTGGACTTTTTGTCGGCTCTGTCTCTTTTTTTATTTCGCACTGGCGAAATACATATATAAATTAATGTCAGTAATAAATATTTTCGTTGAATTTTTGTTCTCTCTGCCGTTTGTCGACTGCTTCTTCATCTTTAACGGATTTTTATTTTTCGTGTATCTGCTCCCATATTCTGAGACAGTCGGCTATAAAATGTTGGACAAAAGCCAGTTATACATAAATAAAATGAACATCCACCAAAAGCAAAAGAAATGAAATGAACACAGAACGATTTGAGAATGTTGAGTAGGGGGAGAAAGAGAATAAGAGAGAGAGAGAGAGAGAGAGAGAGAGCGAAAAAAACGTTTCGAAAATTATCAAATTCAAGACTCCAATTGCAGAGATGAAGGATAAAGGGGATTTTTCGAGAAATAAATGTTTATGCCTTTAAAACCATTGTTAGAATTTGTAATCTAAAACGTATGATTCGTTAAATCGTCTGTGTGCGCGTTTTTCGACTAGTCGCACACATTCTCTGTCTCCCTTTCTCTCTCTCACTCACTCTTTCTCTCTAGATGTTTCTCTTCAGATAAACTAGCTCACGCAATATAATAACATGTAATAAACTAGTAGACATGAACAACAATGCAAAAAATACGATGCTAATTCTATTTTCCAAGGTTCTATTATTTAATGTTAATGACGAACTTTAAACAAACGAATAAAACCCAGTTAAAGTGTTTCAATGTAATTTCCATACAAAAATACATTGCATTTGGCGAAGTTTGGCCACGGTCAGAGTCTGAAGGATATTCTGGTGTGGCGAACGAGCAGAGAATTTGCGGACAGAGCGAGACAAAAGTGTTTAATTGAAGCGATGGTTTCGGCTTTTTGGCGACTACAGCATGGCCGAGGAAGAAAATAACAAGAAAATATACGTCGAAAGGGAATGCAATCATTAAAATGGGTGTATATTTGTATGTGTATTGTTTTTTATGGACACATTCATTTCAATAATCAATTTGTTACAGCCACGCGGTGCACTGTAAACAAATAGCACACATTTGCGGGCAGAACATGCATAGTCCTGCACAGTGCACACATTACATTTGATACCGTCCAAGTTGCTGCATTGCAATGCTGTTTGCATTTTCGGTGCTCTGTACTTTCCGTGCAGTGTATATGATTAGTTATTTGCTTTGAAGTTCACATATTTGTTTCGTTTTTGTTGTTCATCGTCGTCGTCGTCGTCGTCTTCTTCTTTTTTGTGCATTCAACGCTTCGAGAACTCATAGGCAAGACTGTTTGCTGTTTGTCGATTGTTCCATACTATCCGACTACTTTACGTAGCTCAAATTGTGCGATGCATTATCATGCACTCATGCATGCTAGACTTCTTTATTATGTTTGTGCCGAATTTTGCATTTGTTTAATAGCTGCAAGCTGAACTCTCCTTTCTTCACCTTAGTTCTCTTTCATCGTTTTTCTCTACGCTTTTTCTCTTTCTCTGAACCCACCATACAGGGTGGCGCAATTGAATTGGTACTGAAATCAAACTCTATAGTTTTTATATGATTAAATTGGAACTCTGAAAATGTAAACCAAGCAAGAGTAGTTCCAAAAATGTCTAATAAAATAATTTTATCTAACCCATATCGGGGGGGGGGGGGGGGGGCAAAGCCATGCGTTGGTAAAAAAATTCTTTTTGGAGCTCATTCGAAAAAAGGAGAATCCAAAGACGTGGACTGAAATTGAAATCTGAAAGGTGGTTCTAAGATTTTGAATATTTTTCTACATTTTTTGCCTTTAGAACAATAATGTAAGTCAAGAAATATAAAAGTTATAGAGTTTTGTTAAACACTCAAAGCCAATTCGTAGTCAAATACGATGCAAAATTACTAATGCATCTATATGAATGGCATCGTAAATATAATATTCATTTTTAGTGTAGAATCATTTCAATTGTCTTACCCTGTAGATATATACAGGGCAACGGAAAAGATTAACGGTATTATTTAAGATGCCAAACAATAGAAGTAAATATTTACAATAGCTAACTCCATTGCGAAAATACCTTTCAATAAAAGTGTTGCGCTCATAATATTCATCAAAAGTGTGTGTGCACAGTAGCTTCAACAGTGTTATGCCATATACTGCGAGCGCAATTTCAGACATCGTGCATCGGAAAGCGAAATGTATGTATCGAGTCAGAGGATGTTTGTTGACAAAACGCGAATTTTTATGTTTGGTTTAAGTATGTTCTCTATTCTGCAGTTCAAGTTTATGATACCGTTGC